ATTTCAACTTTTCTTTCATTGCTCTATTTATTTATTTACCTATTTATTTATTTATTCCTTCGTTTGTTCACTCGATTGTCCGTTTGCTTGTTCATTCGCCCGTTCATTCATGCATGCATTCATTCATTCATTTTGTATCACAGTTAGCCAATCATATAGCTATCCATCCATTCATTTGAAATATTTTTATGGTAAGACAATCAATAACTAAAAATAGACCAGTTAGTCTGTTTATTAATCATTCACTCATCATTCACGGAAATTCATCCATTCATTCTTTCACATTTATTCATTCATGCATTAATTCAATCATGCAAATTCATTCATGCATTAATTCAATCATGCAAATTCATTCATTTATTCATTCGTTCATTCCATACCCATCACCATCAATCATCTAATAAATAAATCAATCAACCAGCCAGCCAGCCGGCTAACCAATCAACTTCTGCCATTCTTTCTACCAAACAATTAACCATTCTATCAGCTAACCAATCAATCATTCAATCAACTAGTCAACCAACCAATCAGGCAGTAGGTCAGTCAATCAATCAACCAGTAAGTCAGTCAATCAATCAACCTACCAACTAACCAACATTTCATTTTTTCCACATTTAATGTTCTCGTACACCGGCTTTTTATATACCATTCTTGACCAATCTCAATATGTGTATCGCTAACATATATATATATATATATATATATATATATATATATATATATATATATATATAATGGTAATAACATACTTTAGAACGTTTTATTTTTACGTGTATATTTTCCTATTTGAATAAAATATTAAACGAATAAAAAATTATGTTTTTTTTTTATAAAATTAAAATAAAAATTTTGTTGACTAGTTCAGTTATCAATATTCATCTCTGAGTATCAAAGTTTTAAGAGGGGAAAAAGTTTATTGTTAAACGTTGTCTATGGTACAAAGAATGATCGAATATATAACAGTTTATTTCATTATAATAAATTATAAAATGAAAAAATTGTTCTTTGTTCATCAATTTGTTTGTTTTTGTTTGCCTGTTCACCAATTGTTGTTTGTTCATCAATGTACGTTTGTTTGTTCGTCTGTTTGTCAGTTTTTGAGCAATTTGATAAATTTATTAATAATTCAGTTATGGCTTTTTAGCTTATCACAAAGTTAGCGCTGTAAATAAATTCAATTATTGATCGTATGATGGTATTGTCACAAAAATTTGACCATGCCAGTCTGTTATGAAACCAACTTAGTTGGTGGAGCTTAATTGAAATTTGATTGAACGCCCAAGAGTTTATAAAACATGAGTGAAAAAATGTATATACGAATGATTGATTGAATAAAGGAAAGTAAGAACGAATGAACGAGTTGAAGAAAAAATGAAAAACAAATGAATGAGTGCATGAAAAAAAATTATATGCTATACTTTAAACTTGAATAGTTTTCTTATTTCTAATACAAAAAATGATTGTATTTATATTTATTGATGTAATTTAGGGGTGAGCAAACTTTTTGCTGTGAGGGCCACATTGAGAGCTATTTGACCTATAAAGGCCGGGCGCCTGTGTACTTAAACAGCAAGTTTTTTTGACCCTGGGGAGAATTTTTTTTAAGATTAGTGGCTCTTTTTTGGTCATAATGTCTGGTTGAAGACCTTTTTTGGCGAACAAAGCCTCATGGACCGCATAAAATAGCTTCGAGGGCCGTAGATTGCCCACCCCTGATATAAACAATACTAACATAATAATATTATATCATCGTGTTTAAGTTCACAGTTCAAGTAAGTTCACAGTCATGATTAAAGTCAAAGTTCATGATTATGATCAAGGTTCATTATTATGTTTGGGTTAACTATCAAGTTAGGGTTATTTATCAAGTTATTTACTTGATAATTAAATAAAGAGTCGACTTGATAGCTGTAGCTTTTGTACAGCCATGTACTGTACATCAAATGTAATTTGTTGGCTGATGTTTTCAAGCTTTCGTTCATCAGAAAGCAGATGTTGTATTATACATACATATATATACAAAGAAATACAATTTACTTTGTTTGTAGAGGAGACAAGTTTCGTAACAAAACACGTGCAAGAACAGAAAAGCAATAAATATCGTAAGGTACAATACATTCGTAGTATAATACAATATAATACAAATTACAAGAAACTTTATACGATAAAGTACAATATAATACAAATTACAAGGAAGTATGTAGCAGGAGATATAAACACATTTACAAATTTACAGCCATATTCATATTGTATAAAAAAGTATTTTTTGCAAACAAACATGTTCAAATATACAAACTTATACAGGATTATCAGTAAACATTTTGTGTCGAGCATTGTGATGATAATTGAAGACACGAGATGCAATTCAGCGTTCAAGATGGATTTCAGATGGTTAAATTGAACAAACATATTAAGGTTTTACATTTAATTATGCGTTGAAAATTTTTGTTATTATGTGTTAATACAAAAAGATTATTGCAGAAAATTTATTGAACTGTGCGATTATTTAGTTCTTTGTATAAATATATTTATATAAACAAACATGCAAATAATGATACATGGGTACATAGCATTATGAAGAATTGCGTGAGCATGTGAGATTGTATCGACATTATGATTTAGTGAAGGAGTCTGTAAAAAACAAATAAACGCGCCATTAATTACAGCAAAAATGCATTCATCAAATACTGACATCGTTCATTATTATCAACGTCAACGATGACGAGCTACGTCTGAAGCCATGAAAGCAGGCCGTCATTGGCTCCCTCCGCCGATGGAAGTCGAGTTCAAGTCGTCATTCTGAAGATCGAACGCCAAGAGGGCAGCCCCTGCAATGCCGTTCGAATGCAGCAAGGATCTCATTGGGCCGAGGGTGTCGCAGCCACTCTCGCTTCTTTTCTTCGAGTTGTATTTTCGAGAATCACTACGATGAATGATCGGATCTGACGTTGTCGAATGTGCATCGTGGTCGAAAGCGTCTTCGTCTTCATAAGTGTCAATGAGCACGTCGTCACAAAAGCTGCTGCTGCGTAAGCTGCTGCTGCTGCTGGTACTGTTGCTGCTTGAGGTATGTATGTGCTGTTGACGCATTGTTTCAAGTTGCTGAGCGCTGTATTTTGGTATGTCGATACAAACGGTTAGATGAAACCTTGAGTAATCGATCAAATACTGGTTCGTTTCTTTTTGAAATGTTACCAATTTTTCGAACCGATGTCCCCAGATGATTTCTTCGGGGAGGTAGCTGGTCCTGGCCTGAGTGGTCATCCCGGTTGATTCCACGATGCCCTCCAGTACGACCACCAGTTCGAATTTTTCTCGCTTCAAGTCTTCGGCAGACCAACTCCAAAATGGACTGTCCTCAGTGATGTGGTGCTCGACAATCACTGGCCAGACCTATCAATTTGTGATGGAATGATTAGCGGGATTGATTCGAGTTGTTCAGCTGATTATATGTTTTTGTAAAGTGTGCATGTTGAAGATGTTTAATTCATTTAATTTTGTTCTTTTTTTTATAAAGCTTCCTTTAATAAAATAAGTTAATTTAGATATTCATTATTTTGTTTTACAATATTTACGTGTTTAAATTTAAAATTAACCAACAAAAGTTCATTTTTTAATCTATTTTTGTTTACGCTCGTAATTACATAAAATGATTATTACTATCAATAAAATTTATCTTTTACACTCTGAAAAAAAAACAGACCATAAAGAGACGCCCTTCGGTTTCACCATCCCCTAATTTGAGGTCACGTTGGTACAGGGGTATGACCTCACCTTCTTGGGTCACTCTCTTCTTAATCATTATTGCTCGCACGTGAGCTTCGACGATGTGGGATTTGCGCCTGGAAGTATGGAAATTAATGTAAATGTCTTAGAACTTGCTCTCAAGCGGAAGTTTTTTAATATTTTTATCGTCGTCATCATTTCTTCCCTCTCATCTTTCGTCATTGTTATCATCATCTTTATCATTAAAATCTTTATCCTCCTCTTGTCAACATCATTACCAACAATACAATCATCATCACGATGATAATCATCATTTAAAATCATCATCATCATCATCGCAATCATCATCACCAACATGTCACCGACTCTGAAGACCAGGCACATTTGCTCGTCCCTCTTACAGATAAGAGCGTTCTTACTGAACAGTAATGTTTCCGCCCTTTTCTTCGGACGAGATAGTTTGGCAAACACCAGACCCGTCATCAGGGCCTGCCCGTGTGTTTGTTTGTGTAAGTGTGTTTGTTTGTGTGTGTGTGTGTGTGTGTGTGTGTGTGTGTGCATGTGTTGGTGTACGATGGTGTTTATTTGTTTCTACGTATTTATCAAGTTTATTATTAAGTAGTTTACTTACGTTTTAATATTATTTTTTCATAGAAAAATATACTGTTTATATATATTGGCATTTCAACTTCGAAATAGAATGTAATATTTCTATGGGGGTAGGCAGGCGAGAGATGGTTGGTTCATTTGCATGCATCTCCATGCAGACAATTTCAGTTGGGCTTACTTATTAAGCATCTCACAGAATCGAGTTCGTATCTACGTTGAAAATAATGGTTTTGTATCTCTTATCTCAGAAATCGGCTCACAACCCACTTCGTTGTCGACCAATCAGTAGAGGAGTTATAACCGCACAGTTTTTGAATTATATAATTACAAATAAAACAACCATTTTCCGAATTTAATGTAAATTAATCTTGTATAATTTTAAGTTGAAAACTGTCTATATATTTAATTACTAATAGATTTTCGCACCGGTGTATTCAAGCGTTTGAGTTTAACTAAACAATCCACTAAACAATGAAACTTCTAAATAATCAACTGAACATCCAACTAAACATTGAAAAAACACTCAGCTTAACCAGCAAGCAGCATTGACAAACCTGAATGATAACACCGAAACAAGATTGAAACATCATGACCAGTATCGCTTCGGCACAGTGAGGATTCGTGTGCCGACTGCCGTAGCCGATAGTTTGCTGGGTCTCAATACTGAATAAGAGGGCTGTCAGGAAATCTCTCACCTCTTGAACGCACAATTTTTTATCGTTAGATTTGGCATCTAGATCGCCGTGCGAGAAAGCAATCAGCCACCAGAGAAGAGCAAATATGAACCAGCTTAGCATGAAAGCTAAAACAAAGTTGAGCAAATTCCAGCGCCATTTAATATCGACCAGAGTCGTAAAGATGTCGGCCATGTATCTTTGTCTACGTTTCTTGATGTTGGCTCTGTTGACGTTGCATTCGCCGTTCTTGAAGACCAGTCGCTGCCTGTCTATGTCGTCGGTGAATTCTTGGAGAGCTCCCAAATTTTCTCCGTGGTAACCATGGTGATGGTGGTGTGGGGGAAGGTTTTGGAGTTGAGATTTCTTCTGGTGCTTCTCTAACTCTTGTTGGTCTTTGTAGTCGACGAAGATGTTTGACGGAGTGAGTGTCGTGATGATGTGGTTGGCATCGTGTTTTGTGTGCTTGTTGTTGTTGTTGTGAGGGCGGTTATAGAAACTGTAATTGTTGGTTGTTGTTGAGTTGCTGTCGTTATCCTGGCCGGCTGGAAGAGGCCTGGGTGAGGTTGGAGCTACGAGGTTCCTCTTACCCATGTTTATTATTTCCTGATCTTTTGAAGTTTGAGCGCGTTCTAGCGCACTTTTCTTGCTTTCTATATTTGTTGTTGTTTTTTGTTTTTTTTCCTCATTAATGTTTTCTTCAGTCGAATCTTCGTCGTCGTCACCTTCGTCAGACTGTTGCTGTTCGTTGTCGGATGTGGTGCGGGTGGGAACGTACCTGGCTTGCGATGGATGATGACGGTAAGTGTGATAGGAACCAGGATGGTACTGGTGATGCTGTTTATGGTGATGGTGAGAACGAAGATGATGTTGTCTTATTCGCGAGACGATTCCAGATAGTTTCATCTTTCCATCTATGTAGTTTTCGCTCCTTTTCAACATTAGAAACCATCGTAAGCAAAATGTTAATTAAATGAATGTTCTTCAGTCAATTTATGCAACAATTAAACCAAAAAACTTCTAGCAGATGATCGAGTTAGATTCACATGATACTAAATACATATTCATAATTGATTTCACGCAACTTCAATTTATAATAAATCAAGAACGCATACTAGCATCTGAGATTAACTCACTCGCAATAATTTAAATCGAAATAAGATGTTTCTATATTAATTATTTCCACATCGTTAAAATCAGCATGAAGATATTTTTAACAAGAAATTAAATTTACATGAAATAAAACCATATTTAACGTTTATCAAAAACCCATTCAGCAACCGACGTCAACTCCAACTTTTGTAATTTAACAATTGTTATAAAGTGCTACATAATTAAAATTTCACGTTTATATAATTATATAAGTTAACATTTAATTAAACGTCCGTGCGTGACATCATCAACTTTCATTTATTTACAACGTTAGAGTCGCATCCTTTCTTTTCGTGTCTTGCCATGAAAACATGCAAATGTCAACAACAACAACCACAACAACAACAACAACCAAGATGGTGAAAGTGATGCCGATGATGATGCTGCTGAAGAGAAAAGGACTATGTTGACATTTGCAGATGCAAGCATCAATACGGGCGCACAAATGTATATAAATAATACGGTCGTATATAATATATGTTAGAGTAAGTGCATACGTGCGTGTATACGCCACGCTTTGTCGTATGTCACGTAAGGGAGTATATATATATATATATATATATACGCGTATATATGTACGCGTATATATATATATATATATATATATACGTACACACCAATACCAGCATGAGTATATCATATATAGTGAAAGATAGCACCCATCCATATAAACGAGCTTAATTCCACGCAGATATATGGTATGGAGTGTATGTGTACGTTGTATATATTGTAGATACATGTGGTTTGTGAAGAACACGTAATGATGTTTCTGTGGTAGTAGTAAGAACAGCGATGAGAATGAAATATAAATAATAATCTATTGAAGACACATGCAGACAAGAGGAACACAAACAAAAGGAGGTACTATAATCCGTCCGTGTTGTTTCCATGGCACCGACGAAGCAAGGAAGCCACGCCAGTCAACACTCCTGCTTCCATGGATACATCCTCTTATCTCCATCCTTCAATCTCCGTCCTTTCATCTCCATTGTTTCATCTTTCCATCTTTCCGTTTCCATCTTTTCATCTCTTTCCCTTCATTTTTGCGTGCTGTATTCGTCTCTTTCAAATGCTCTGCCCGCATTAGTTAACTAGTTTCTTTTTGACGGTAATTAATTGGTAATAGTTAGATTTCATGCGTCTGTTTGAATGAAACTGTTTTGTGTATGTTGGCTTTGAGTTTTTATATTTTTCAGCGTGCTTTCCTCCAGCGTTTGATTGGTTTCATTTCAAATTTTAATATTTTCGCCGGGCTCTTCCCGAGCAATTGATTTCAAGTTTTCATATTTTGCCGCAGGCTTTTCGCGAACATTTAATGCGTTTCATGTTCTCAATATTTCACCGCAGGCTCTCAGTTTTACAATGGAGCTGTCGGTTTCAATTTGTTTTTCTCTTTGAATTTTCTTCAGGACTTAGTTACAGACAGGCTAGCCATCCCTGCTTTACTTGGTCGGTTGGCGCTGAATGAAGTAGGCGGGGATGAACAAAATTGAAAAAGTGCGTGCGTGCGTGTATGTGTGCGCGTGTCTGTGTTTAAATAATTATGATATATATATATATATGGGTCATTCTCCGTCAACTTGAACGATTTAAAAAAAAGTCCACGCCCGACCATCTCCGATTTTTTTTAAATTTGAACAGTAAGTACCTCAATGTATTTCATCGACAAAATAAAATTTTTATAAAAAAATTTCAATTATTTTTCAAGTTATGAAGATTTTTGTGACAGCATCCTCAAATTTTTGAGCGATTTTTTTCAAAACTTGTACCTACGTAGAACGCTATATCTCTTGAACTAGCCAACATATCTTGATGAAATTTTTTGTGCATATCAGTGAAACAATGTAATAACAAAAAAAATAAATGTTATTGTCTCGAATCAAAGGATATTTTGAACAAAAAATCTAGAAAAAAATGAATTTTTTGAAAATTTCACCGATTTCAAAACAGCGTAGCTCAAAATCTATCGCAAAATAAATAAATATTTTTTGTTATTTTAGAAGTA